GATGATGATCATGCTGGTGATGATGATCATGATGATGATGACGAGGAGGAGGGGGATGCCGATGATGGTGATGATCAAGTTGTTGATGATGATGATGATGATGATTATGTCGGCGCCGGTGATGATGATGACGATGATGGTGATGATGATGGTGATGATGATGATGAGGAGGACGAGGATGACGATGACGATGGTGGCGATGATGATGATGATGATGATGACGATGGTGGCGATGATGATGATGATGATGATTATGATGATGATGACGAGGGTTGCAATGACAATTCTAATGAAGGCGATGGGCAATGATGAGGAGGAAGTTGATGCTGAGGACGATGGCGAAGATGAAGATGATGAAGACTGGTAGCTAGTGGCCCTTCTCTGCCTGATGTCCGCCGGCGTGACATTTGCTTCTCGAAGAGAGGCACGTATGCACTCCTTTCGGGAGCAGCAACAAGAATCGGAGACAGAGTACCAACAACATGAGAGTAAAGATGCTGCTGATGATAATAATAGCAGTGATGATGATGACGACGATGCTGACGACGACGAGAATCATCTTCCTCGTCTATGAGTCTATGGTCTATAACCCAAGAGAAAGTACTGTGTGACCATCACATCGTGGCTTCCCGTCGAGAGATCCTGCTGCGACGGCCCGTGTGGTGCTGTCATCGAGGCACTCCTGCAGAGAAAACACTTTCGATTTGGGGCTTTAGAAGCATTGCCAGAATCATACCACGCTCGCATTCTGAGCCTGTTGGATTCCTGATGAAATACGGCACAGAGCTGCACGTCTGAGCAATGCACATTTAGTATGTCATCTTCCAGCTTCACGATGACAGGCTCTCTTGCGGTCTCTACTGCCATGGCGGATTAACACAACGACAATGCGCTTGCTGTTGTTTGACATGGCTGGCGCCTCTTACACGGGTCCCGAAAGCTTCAACATCTTGTTCCCAGACGTGTTCTGCTGTTCTCTGCTGTTCCTGTTTTCTTGCGGCTTGGTTCGTAGCTCTACGTAATCATTCACCGCTTCTGTCCCTGCCTTCTTCAAAAACCTTCCACGAACTATTTCCACGACTGGTTGTGGTGCAGTTGGTGGCTGTCCTGTTGCTTCCTTAGATCTTCTACTTAGAGAATGATGTCTGCCCTCCTCAGGTGTTCGTTGCGAACTCACTCCAGCTTGTTTGCTCGGTTTAGCCTTTGTTGGCATTGCCACGCTCTGCGTCGTCATGCGAAGCCCGTGGGTGTAAGTGTAGGTTGGTGGGTGCAATGTAAGAGTAAGTTGCTGCAGTACCAGTCGTACCATTCGTGCGTAACTACTGGTGGCTCTGAGTATACGATCAAGAGTAACTGAGAAACTTGTCATGACCATGAACCACCCCGCTGTGATGATGATGATGATGATGGCCGCTCATGCCTGCCACGACCATGAGCAGAACCTATAGGAAATGAAGGTGCCAGGATGAGTCCCATGCACGCGCTAATGATGGCACTCCGTATGCTTACAAATCACGATTCTGAAGAAGGCTGTGGCTTTGCTGTGGCTATGGTGCCAAGGCCCCAAAGCCTGGCCGCCTGGCCTGCCATCCTGGTTGATGTTGGTGCCACAGAAGATCGCCAGTCTCTCTGTCGGCTCTTCGTGTGTGACTTGCATAAGGATGCCACTTGTGCCTGAGCCAGCTAGCTGAAGAGACCGGCGCAGATTTCCAGACATCTATGCACATTAAGAAAATAGAAAAAGCGAAAGTGGGATGCCTTCGCCGCGGCCGAAGCCATCTGCTCCATAGTCGAAAGTGAAGCAACGGCCTTTCGCCTCAGCATGTCGACGAGCCCAGGCACTTTAGGAGCGACAGGGATCCTGTGTTTTTTTGCGTTATCAAATGACGTCCAGTAATTTCCTAAGTTAGTCATTTAGTCCTCTCATTCTGATGAGAACGGCACATGAGGCTCCCAAAGCCGAGCCGCTGAAAGCATCTTAGGGCCACAGAGCCCAATCCAGGAAAAGGGGCCCAACCTTTCCAGGCACATGCTGCGCAGCCTGTTTCTTCCCAGATCTTCGGTCAGACGTTCGTTTTTTACCAAGGGACAAGCCATTGGTGCCCATGGCCAAGGCATGCTCGGTGCTTCCAGTGCTGCTGGTGATATTCTTCTGCCCGGGATCGAGCTGCCGAACAGCCTTTCGCAGCATGACCGAGGCTCCCCGGCTACAGCGCAACGCCGCAGTAGCTGCATGCAAGGCGCATTGTGGGCTTCACCAGTCCTTAGCGAATAGAAACAGCTGCTGGAGAACTGCTGGAGCATACAACACCGTCTCCGGCTGCTAATGGTGGGCCTAGCATCGCCACCAAAGACGACGAGCACGCAGTATCTGATGTACTGATAGGCCCCGTCAGGCCAAAAGTGTAGGAAAGTCGTGTGCTCGTCGTATGTGCTGACATTGCCGACAACCTGCAAATGTCACTGGGGATGCATTTAGAGACATGGGCCGTGTCTGCACCCGTCAGCGGTTCTTCTCTTTTGTTTGGCCATGGCACCTAAAAGCCATCATCTCGGCCGACATACCTGAGACGATCTGTGAGGACCGGGTCCATCAGACTTCTACGCATCAGCAAGCGGTGCAGTCTGGCAACTTGGAAGTTCCGAAGGGAGAACAGGCTTCATGCCCGACCAGTCCGTCCCACAGTTACCGATAAAGACACCTTGGCAGTAAGGGACCAGAAAACATCCAAATTGCAGACCGACGTTCCATCCAGGTAGTGAGGTGTGTGAACCGTCTGCTCCTGGCTTTCCTTGCCAGATGTAAGACTCCTCCCGGAAAACTCCCCAACATTCAACGCAAAGAGTGGGCTCAGGTGTCGAGGGATCTTCGTACTGATAAGACTGATAAGGCCATACATCGCCAATGCACAGCTTCTCGGCTTCAGGGCACGAACTGAGTAACTGAGTGCAGCACCTATGTTTGCATTTCCCAGCCGCTTCCTGTTCCATCCAGCCTTCAGGAGGGTCGAATAGCCTGAGCCGCGCAACATGGACCGCCCGATAACCTTGCCTATTGACAACCATGGCTCAGCCACTGAGATTCCGAAAGAGCTACACATCGAAACAGGAGCAGGTAAAAACCACAACTGATATCAGAAAGGATGGAGTGCTATTTCGGTCCTTGCTTTGTGGTCCGCTGTCTTAAGGAAAACCTAGCTTTCGGAGGTTTCCTGAGGAAAGCCAAGTTCGTGGTGATATTCGCATGCTCGTCTCTGGTGCGTTTGAAAGCTCCGAAAAGTCGTGATGCACACTACTCCACTACTCTTTCCATGAAAATAAATTATTTGGCTTTCTATATTAATATGTACATCTATTTAAAACATATATATATAATACATACTAGATATATGCATAATTATATACATAATTATACACACACACTGTGTGAATAACAGATTTCTGAAGGTATGAGTGAGTGAGTGACTGAGTGAGTGAGTGAATGACTGAGTGAGTGACTGAGTGAGT